TCATGAGTGGTCTATGCAGCCCCCCGGTCTACTCAGCCGAATACTCGAGAAATCGGGTGTGAGGGTTAAATGAGGAGCTGCACATTGCAGCAAAGTCTCGGACGAAGAAAGTATGGTACACACTACCTTAACCGTCACTGGCCAAAAAGATCCTTCGGCTTCCTGTAATTGGCTGGTTGCACTTGTGTAACATTGTGGCTGTTGGAATACACCGAAGTAAAATAAGTGTCTAGATAAAAAATCAAAGTGTTTTTTTCTTCAACAAACAGTTTGAACACCGTTCCAGAAAGAATTAAATTATGAACCATACTCACGAAATAGCATGCAATTCCTGTCTTATCCCAGCAGTCTTACTGAATACTGATCTAGAGCGGATAGTATTCCATTGTTCTATAATTGTTCTATCAGTAATTCCGATACGGCGATAAAGCCTGATTTTTTCTTACTTTGATATTTGGGACAGAATGGTAACCGGTCATATTATATATTTTTACATATATTTTTACAACTCTATGATAAGTTTGATTGTTTGCTATTCAAAAATTTGGTGGACGGCCCCAATGTTAATGTAGCTCCTGCTATGTGTTGGTTCAGCCGAATTAATTGTTATACATTCAGGTTTATTTTTCTATTTAAATAGTTAGTCGTCATCCGGCTTATCATTATGAAACTTATATTGCAATGCCATTTTCTCTACAATTTTTATATCATAAAAATGTAACGCTAATTCTCAAATATAATAATAATTTATTGATTTTTTTAAAGTATGCAATAATCATCTTCTACCAACGAAACGTGAAGGGAGGTAAAAAAGGACAGTATGTTTAACTACGATCAGAGTTGCACTATCAATACTACTACTGCTAACGGGGAAGAGTATTACAGAAGCTACATCTGGGAACCGGACCACTCTTACATGTTATTATTCTTTATTTAACATAAATAAAACTTATTTAACATAAATAATGTGACCTGAGCTTCCTGTTTTATACAACTCCAAGACTATTTTGAAGAATGAAATTATGCTAGTGTATTGACCCAGCACTGATGCCTTATAGTGAATCGTTGACTAATGTTTGCAATTTTAATACTTTTATTGTCTACGAAACATCTAACAATAAGAAATATACTAAAACAGAGTTCCCGCAGGACGAGCAGCGGATCATCAGATTTAATTAAGCCTGGATTTGTTGTCTTAACATTGCATTGGTGGTCTCTATAATATTTGTTGTAACATGCGTTGTGACATGTTGTGAATGTGATGTTTCTGACTTTTTGCCAACTGTTCCTGAAAACTCAGTTAGTGTTACTCAGAACCCTGTAGCTCAACCACCAAAGACTTCAAAAAGAGTTGCATATTATACTAATTTGACGACCCCTGGAGAAGGTACGACAGGAACAACCGGAGTTATTACAACGTCGGGATCTCTAAGCACACCGCTTCAACAAGATTCACCATCCGCTCCTACTTTTAACATGTACAGTGCTGAGGTCACATCTATCAGATCAACTTCAGCACCAACTCAACCACCAAAGACTTCAAAAAGAGTTGCATATTATACTAATATGACGACCCCTGGAGAAGGTACGACAGGAACAACCGGAGTTATTACAACGTCAGAGGTGGCGTCAGAGGTGGCGTCAGAGGTGGCGTCGTGGGAGTCACCAGATGTATCACCTCCACCAAATGCTCCTCCCCCTTCTTATGATGACCTTTTCCAATCTTGAACTTACGATATAATCTTGAACTAATCTAGAAACAGTAAAGGGTAGCAAAGACAGAAACGTTTTGATAATGATAAGTTGCGAGAATACAGACAGATATGTTTTGTAATTGTAGCTAGAGTTCAACTTCACATTTTATGACGAAGCTTTAAACAAAGTCTGATGATTATTTCAACTCCTTTTGAAACATTGGACTAACAATATTGATTGTGCTATTTTTTGCTAACATCTGAACCAACAAAACTAGGTTGTGCTCACCTCTGAATTTCACTATCTTTATATAATATTAAATATATAAACTTGATCCGGACATAAAACCTCCATTCGAGTGATCTGAGTTTTTAGCTCAGGATTTAATCTATAATATTGCCAAAAAATAGTTAAGGTCGCTTATAGGCATCGTACAAAGTATAAAACTAACAAAATGACCTGTGACTATGACTATGTCGTTAATAATCCTATAAGAGTTCAGCTTAAGCTAAACAGTTCCAAGATCCAAACTATTTAGTAGGGGTTTTGTTTTCATTGTAGTCGAATTAAATAAAAAGTTACAAAAAAGGAAACAAATAAAAAAAAGGGAAAAAAACCTTAGTACCTTGCATTTGTACTAACTGCTTTTCTGGAAAATGAGCAGCAGACCGCCCCCCCCCCCCCCCCCCAACGTCACGTACAATTTTGACCTTATGATTCCCCCCCCCCCCCCCCCCCCCCCGACAAACTATATATATATATTATATATTAACAGGAAACGATTTAACAGAGTCGATATATTTTAATGTTGCCATGGGCAAGTCCCCATACGTCGTGGTCCGGTAGTTTCATTGCGTCCTAATATACTATATAGCCCAATACCACACGAAGAATGCCTTTTTGTAACTTGATATGTGAAACTAAATTATATTGGATTTGTACAGGGTTAGTTCCATTGTTGTTGGTTTGGACACTGTGTGCATTTTTTCCATCAATTTTTTTTCCCGGATCTTAAACATGTGTAAGTTCAAGCTTTTCTTTACTTGATCATTGATGCGCTACAAACATCTCTGATTTGCTGTGAGTGCTTGGCGCAACCACCGGCTTGGCTCCCGATATTAGTAATCCGTTATATTGTTGAACAAATTATGATGCTGATGTTATGTTGAACATGATTGTCGTGTGATTGATTTGTTATACGAAATGGACCATAAATGTTATTAACAACTTATGTAAACTTTTAAACACCATTCCTTCACATGGCTTTTGTTCTTCAAACTTTTAACTGCATATCACCACACAGGCGCAGGCTACGGTGTCCGATCATTTAACTTTTAAAATTTTAATAATTGACAAATGACAATGGCAACCCCTCAATTTTGAGCAATGTCAGTCGAGACAATAAAACTTGTTGAAACACTGTTCCGCAGGACGAAATGAATGATTCTAGCAAGAAAGATAAGAAAAATAAGAAAAAGAAGAAAAAGGGAGGATTCAAATTATTTGGCTTTGGCGCCAAGGGAGATGACGGTGAAGCCGATGTTGATGCTGAACAGTCTCATGATATCAACAAACCAAAAGGCGGTTTTGGAGGGAAACAATCGGTTAGTAGCTCACTAAGTTCTAGCTCAAGTTCAAAGAAGATAAAAGGAGGATTTGGATTTGGATATGGCGATGTTGATGTTAACTTGAAGGTTAAAGCCGATCTTGATGATATCAATGAACCAAAATGCGGTTTTGGAGGGAAACAATCGGTTAGTAGCTCACTAAGTTCTAGCTCAAGTTCAAAGAAGATAAAAGGAGGATTTGGATTTGGATATGGCGATGTTGATGTTAACTTGAAGGTTAAAGCCGATCTTGATGATATAAATAAACCAAAATGCGGTTTTGGAGGGAAACAATCGGTTAGTAGCTCACTAAGTTCTAGCTCAAGTTCAAAGAAGAAAAAAGGAGGATTTGGATTTGGATATGGCGATGTTGATGTTAACTTGAAGGTTAAAGCCGATCTTGATGATATAAATAAACCAAAAGGCGGTTTTGGAGGGAAACAATCGGTTAGTAGCCCACTACGTTCTAGCTCAAGTTCAAAGAAGATAAAAGGAGGATTTGGATTTGGGTATGGCGATGTTGATGTTGACTTGAAGGTTAAAGCCGATCTTGATGATATAAATAAAGCAAAAGGCGGTTTTGGAGGGAAACAATCGGTTAGTAGCTCACTAAGTTCTAGCTCAAGTTCAAAGAAGATAAAAGGAGGATTTGGATTTGGATATGGCGATGTTGATGTTAACTTGAAGGTTAAAGCCGATCTTGATGATATCAATGAACCAAAATGCGGTTTTGGAGGGAAACAATCGGTTAGTAGCTCACTAAGTTCTAGCTCAAGTTCAAAGAAGATAAAAGGAGGATTTGGATTTGGATATGGCGTTGTTGATGTTAACTTGAAGGTTAAAGCCGATCTTGATGATATCAATAAACCAAAATGCGGTTTTGGAGGGAAACAATCGGTTAGTAGCTCACTAAGTTCTAGCTCAAGTTCAAAGAAGAAAAAGAAGAAAAAAGAAGAAAAAAGGAGGATTTGGAATTGATTTTGGTGGTAAAACCGATGTTGATATTCCAGATGGTGAGTTGGAGGTAAAAGCAAATGCGGATATAAACGAATGTGTCAGATATTGTGAGGAAGCACCTCCACCAGATGCTCCTCCGCCATCTTATAACGACCTTTAATTACTCAATCACTTAATTAATTCTGAAATCTTGAGCTTAGTTAGCAGTTTTTATGTAGGTTTCAAATGTCATACTTGGTACAAGGGATGTTAAAATGAAGATAGACAACATCCCTTTCAATACTATTGTCATGCCAAATGACCACAAATAAGTCGCTGCTTCATGTTTAATTTATCACAGAAATTTTTAGTTATTTCTAGCTCATTTCTAGCTCGGAATCATTATTTTTAGATACGACTTACAGTATTATTGAGGTTTTGCTAATTTGTACTAACAGGTTTATTATCGTATTTCTAAATTCTATTGATTTAATTATTGTTTGTGTTAACTTGATGCTTTGCACAATTAAATAATTAACTTATCATAACTTAATAAACAAATCATTAACAACTCAAATCTAACTAATTAATAAAATTAACAACAGAAATGGACTGTGCGGCGTTTAGGTTCTTAGGGATAATTCTTGACCCAAAATTTTGTTTTGATGAAGAAATCCAAATAATATGTCAAAAACATTACTAATCAGCAATGAACTTTTGTCAGATAATATCAGAATTGATAATGTTATAAGACGTACTAACCTCACTTCCACGCTATTATCACCATGTCTTCTGCTTTTTTCTCTTTGCGGTAGACCCTTCCATCTGAAGAAGGAAATTGTTGAACGAATAGTTCTCTATACTAAGGTTATATCATCATCATTTTCAGTTAAGCTGTCAAAAACAACTTCTGATAAAAACGGTTTAAAACATTGATAGTTAGTCGATGAGATTATGAAAAATGAATTGAATAAAACAAGTTAATGGAATACCTGAATACCATGTCCCAACTGAATCCTCCCATGAAGGAGTGAGCAGAGGGTGTATCTGGAGTGTCATCAATCAGCTCGAAAGTGTTGAATTCAATGGCAGGAATATTTGGCTGAACAACCTGTGGTGGCGGAAAAATTTAGAGAAAAAAAACACAAGGAAACATTTTGGGAAATGTTTGATAAAATATTGTTGTTTTAATATCGCTACGATGAATTGTGGACTTGCCGCCCCATGGCAACATTAAAATATATCGACTCTTTCAGATCGTTTTCTCAATTGTATTTAATTGTAATTGTGAAAATAGCTTAATATTTTAGTTCTTACCGTTTTTCTGTTTCTAGCAATTCTATCCATGATAGGCTCGGCCCAATATGGTAGAGCCTCAATATGAGAGTCTAAGAAGACTAATACGTCACCTTCTGCGTGCTCCGCTCCTGAAGAAATATATTAAAGTCAAACTGTATAATCCAATTTATCGATAGATGTTCATACCAGTTATAAAAGGAACTATAAAATATGATAAAATTATAAGTCATAAGAAAAAATCTAATAAAGAAGAAAAAGTTTGGGATAAGATATTGAACTGGTCTTGAAATTTAAAAATGATCCACAAAATAATATATTTGAAAAGTTTAATGAAGCTTCCTGACTTCCCGGCTCAGCTGTAAATCCACCCATTTCCCCCGGTTGTACAAAACTAATGGCAGTAACACTCAGAAACATTAATTTATAATGATAAAGATAATATCTCTCACCAGTTGTCCTAGCAACCATGAGACCGGACCGACTTTCGTGTCGTACTAATTTAGTGAGGTCTCCGAATATCATCAGCTCTTCTTCTAGTCTCTTACCGTTCTCAACTGTGAAGAAATATTGGGATTAAACAGCTGACAGTCAATTAGTTAAGCACTTAATTAGATGGTCGCTGCACTGTAAATCTAAAAGATAGAGACATTGATAACACCTTTTTCAATAAATATACAAAATTTTAAAATTTTAACGACGGAATCCTCGAACCAGTAAGTACAGTATGCCATCTGCAAAGCAACAGCTCTCAAATATAAAACACGGCGGAGCTATTAAGGCCAACGTATGCCCACTGACTTTTGGCCCACCCTGTATTTTTATTTGTATCCATATCTACTGCATATTTTCAGAACGTATCTGGTATCAGTCAATCAAATAACTGAATGAAGTCTAACAATTAGACATTCCAACCTTGTGCTTAGTCCAATATTATTACTAGATGCATATTATTACTAGATACATATTATTACTAGATACATGACGTTCGCGTTGTTATCAATATTTCATTCAATTCTAACTTCTACAACTGTTTATAGGGCCGGTAAATGTGGCAATTATTGTAAAAGTTTCACTTGTTAGTGCAATTAGTGAATTAGAAGTTTCACCTGCACAACTGACAACTATGGATACATGTGTAAATTCAAATACTCCTTATTACTCCTTAATACTCCTCACTACTCCTTAATACTCCTTAATACTCCTCACTACTCCTTAATACTCCTTAATACTCCTCACTACTCCTCACTACTCCTTAATACTCCTTAATACTCCTTAATCATTATTACTCCTTAATACTCCTTACTCACCCTTCTTTGAGAAGTCGTCAACCAGCACGATATCATGCAGCAACTCCGGAGGGGTAGTCAATATTATACTGATTATTGACCTTAGCAGCACGCTCAAACACTCGTCCACAAATATGAACACTATTGATATGCTTGGCATCTCTGATACGGGTAGATATGAGGGAAACCGTTCGTGGCATCTGAGGAGAAGTGTAAATAAAGTTAAATAAAAGGAGATATTTAGTTTACAGCACCGAGGCAATTAATTAATTAAATACTCAATAAAAATTCAAAATTATCGAAAAGTCTCGTACCGATTTTCATAGAATGGATGTGATGTTATTACTTATCAGTAATCACCCAACGTGAAAAATTAAAAATTGACAGTTAATCATCTGATTATTAGTTACATAATAACTGTGTGATTAACTAATCTATCGCTTACTTCTGCGTCCTCATATCCGGATGTAGTCTGTTAATAGGGGTGTGGTCACTTATCCACGTGTTAAACATGTTCTCTTTAAATAACTTTTTCTGAAATAAAGTTCCTTTAATTTTCTTGTTATTTAAAAACTTACAAAACGTTACGTTGGTGGCATTTTTAGAAAAGTGAGTTTAAATTTACATAGAATGCATTTTAGGATGGTATTTTCAAACGTTTTGCAAGTAAAAGAAAACTCAAAAGTTACTCTGACTCCGAATTCTAACTAGTTTGCTTGCATACCAAGCTGAGGTCACAACTATAACTGTTACCACAGTAACAATAGCCATAGTAACGACAATTGGTAACCATAGTAACGACAATTGGTAACCATATCAACAGCAAATTTACCAAATTAACATTTCCGAAACCATATTTACTTCCAAGACCCTACCTTATACTCTTCTAGATCAGTAGGGTAAGGATCTCTTATCCCATCCAGGTCCAATAAAATAGGACTTTCCGAATTGAACAGTTCCCTTAACTTGGTATTTCTCTCAAGTCTGTGCTCCCGTGCTGATAAAGTTCTGGAGGCTGACGCAGACTCGTTACTGACAACTGTTATTCTGACGTTGGTAGCTATAAAGCCGCACAATAGTAGTAATATCAAACCCGCTTTAACTGCGTAAGGACGCTTGGAGTGCCAGATTACGAACTTTACTTTGAAGTTAAGGATGGCGAGTTTAAGGGCGTCTAGCGGATCTGAGTTGGCGTCTGGAGTACCCATGTTGAGAGGTGAACTAACCCTGAAATCTGAACAACACAGAGATCACTTCAATTCCGGTGCGTGATATTAGTTAAATCTCCACGGAAATGAGACTTGAAACTGAGAGAGAAGTGAGCTGAACCTTCTGTTACGTCTTTTCAGCAGGTTGTATATCAGAACCAATTCAGCAGAACAATTCCACTAAACAAATCTGCCAAGATCTAAATTCTAGAACGCCTCCGAACAACAACAACGGAAGGTTCTGGATCACGCTGCAGGGATCTTTACCGACAGGAAAAACAGAGAGAAAGGTAGAACACTGTAATCAAGCACACTGCTAAACCGCTTTAAAATATCCACACATGTGACCCGACCCTGCTAAGAGAGACATGTTATAATATGTTAATTTTTGTGAATATTACTGTGATATCACAGACAATAAAGTTGTATGTTAATATGATGCAAGTATGGTGGATGGTTTGTATTTGTTTCATGAAGGGAGGTACTGTGCTTCATAAAACTGGACCCGAGAATTTCGTTCACGTGTCGTGAATTATTTTAGACTTGATGTCGGGATAAAAAAGGAAATGATGTAGCGATTTTACATCTTTTCGGGGCCACACAAGGTACTACTTCATCCCCGCGTGAAGTTCAAACAGTAGCGCAGTAAACACGTGTGACAAGGTGCGGGCCGGGGGGGGTTGGGTTCAGCGGTAGTAGTGCTACAAAGCAAACGACCAATTCATCGCAGTGAATCGCACACAAGCACTAAGGACAATAGCGACACATCAAACGTATGTTCACAGCTCTTCAGTAAGTATCTACAGTTCTTGAAATGAAACCAGAATACCGGCCAATTTACAAGTAGGATTCGATTTACTGAGATGTGAGAGAGAGATCGCAGTATATAAAACTTGACAAGCATATATCAGGGGATGTTTGCCAAGTTTGCTCACTTACATATTGCTAGCAGACAGAAATAGTTAGCTATAATAAGATAATGAAGAGTGGAGGGCACGCCCAACCGAGGGAAATCTGAGGATTTATCGGAAGCATGAACGGATCATTACGTGTCAAATGGAGAATGCAATTCATTTATTATTCAGAAGTCAGCCGATCAACTGATAAACTATGGCACCAATCAAGGGAAGGCCGCAGTGTCTACAGCTACAGAAACTGGTGGCGTTGAAAGATCAACCCAATTGACGCATACCTAAATGCCCAAATGACGAATTTACCAAACTGCTAGCACATTGTTTTCGGAATTTCAGTAGACACCAACTTCAGTTTCTCTGCAGGACTTCTAGGTAATTTAATCAACACTTTCGTAATTAATTGACAAGAAAGGGATGTATACTCTATATACGGTTGGTAGTCTACCCGCATGTACCCACTTCACCGCGGCTCAAATATCAGCAGTAAAAACGTCAAAAGATAAACTAATACCTCTGCGAAAGAGAGGGGATAATATTCAATTCATTAGGTTGAGTGTCGACTGGTCAAGTTTAAGCATGTAAACTGAGCTAAGTCTGCGCTAGTGCACTATCATAAAGGAGGGCATGGCAGGTGTCAAGAGAACATTCTTTGGAATTTTTAGACGAGGATGAATGATAGAGCGAAGTAGTGACTATTGGGTAATGAGCATTGCAGTTAAATACGGTTAAATTTTTTTCAGCAATCTATAAACATCCTTAGAAAGTAAACGATGTTAAACTGGTTCCATTTCGTGGTGTAACTCAGATATTAAAGAGATCTATCTGCAAGTTGATGAATATCGAACTACGAAGATATCAGAAATCAGAGCAATCAGCAACAAGCAGGTGATAATCGAAATCTAGGTTACAGAAATAATCAAGATTGTCATTAAATATGTAGAATTGAATAACACCGATATGACGCATGTTACTCAGAAACTTGCACAAGTTTACAGGCGTTATGTAATATGTGTTGAAACGAGTAGGACAGCGACTAAACGAAATCTGAACTGATCCGTGACCCAGATTCCGACTGTGTATCGCAGCCTCTACCACTGACCATCTGCGCGCAAAGTTAGGTAGGGAATGATATGTGGAAGAGGCGTCCTGGCACCGCGCGCCCTTCTGGATGCACGTGGGCCCAAAACAATATTGGATAACTCTGGGCCAGGGCCTGACCCAGAGAAGAAGCACTCATGATAAAAATCTTTGTTCAACTAATGAGCACGGCAAAGTTGCAGGTGACCGTACTACTAACTAGGTCATCAGCCAAAAGGATCCATGGTTGTGGGACGGATCATTACGACCCTTCTCAAGGAGAAAGTAACACCCAGAAAGGGCTGGCACGATGAGCAGCAGATAGGTCCCTACTCCTCTCACGGAACCAATGGCTAACTGTCACAAATCAATCAGATACTGCCGACCGGGAATGTACAAAAAACTGCACACAAAAACACGTCGAGAAGTTATGCCCAACCTGCTCTAGATATCATAGTACTTGCTAATAGTAATACTGTAAACGACATCCCATTTCAAATTTAGTACAGCTCACCTAGAATAAACCCAACGTTTCAGCACCCTAAACTAACACAAATACATGAAGAAATAAGAGCTTAAAACTTTCACACAGTACACGATACAGATCTCACAGAATGTCACGTGGTACTGATCTCACAGTGGTCACGTGGGCGCCCCGCGCGCAGGTGTCGACGGGATAATGTGAATCTTGTTAGCGGAGTCGACTTGATCGCGGATAGTACTAAAGTTACCCGGTCCCGGGACTAGAGCACATAGTTTAATGTGATTTGTAAATGTATATAACTTCTATAATTGATCCTGGTGGGGACAAGGGAACGTTTTCGGATCAGTGTAATGGTTTAGGGCAGGTGGTAGAGGGTGGTAGAGGCAGTGGCGTAACGAAAGGCCCTGCTGACCCCGCTGTGCAGGGGGGCGCCGTCTTAGGGGGGCGCCAAATCGCCGTTTGAATGTGGGACAATTTCGAAAACTTAACTAAAGTACTAGCAAAACTGCGCGTTTTGCTCTAGATACACACTTTTTTAGAGATTTTACCGGAGTATTCTTTAAAATCACCTAATTTGTTCAATTTTAGGGAGGGGCACCAAAAGGGGAGGGGGCGCCAACAGGGGGGCGCTTTTTTCGGCAGGGGGCACCAACAGGCAACGTTACGCCACTGGGTAGAGGGTGGTAGAGGGTGGTAGTGCAGGTGGTAGAGGGTGGTAGTGCAGGTGGTAGAGGGTGGTAGTGCAGGTGGTAGAGGGTGGTAGTGCAGGTGGTAGAGGGTGGTAGTGCAGGTGGTAGAGGGTGGTAGTGCAGGTGGTAGAGGGTGGTAGTGGTAGAAGGTGGTAGAGGGTGGTAGAGGGTGGTAGTGCAGGTGGTAGAGGGTGGTAGAGGGTGGTAGAGGGTGGTAGTGCAGGTGGTAGAGGGTGGTAGAGGGTGGTAGTGCAGGTGGTAGAAGGCGTAGGTTTCATTGGGAGGTGTTGAGGGCGATGACGGCGAGCTCGAATTATTAATAAATGCGTTCCAAAGGAAGAGACGTAGCGGCATATTTACATGATGAGACGTATAATAACCGTATAACGGCATATTTATATGTTGAGGTTTGTTTAAAGATTATGATCAAAACTATTTTGTGGCTTAGCATACGCTGCAGTGTGGTTCGATCACATAACTTGTTAGGAGATGTATATTTGGCTGGCAGAGCTAGAAGGTCAAAGTTAGACCTTCGAAATAAAACGACGTGTCTCACTGACATATAACACGGAAATATGACGAAAACAAAACTTGAAAATGGTCTTTGAATGATTATAAACAAAAATCAGTTTAAACATTGTAGACTGTACAATTAGTTAAACAGATTTCAACGCCAAGATGTAACTAATTATTTGGCGATGAGCAATATTTTCAAAGAAAAACAACGGCCATTTCAAAGTGACAAATGATTGGTTCAACGAAAAAATAATATCTCGTGAACATATTTACCAACGACTTACAACATTTCTATAACACCTTGCATTTTCGTACGAAAGTATGAACAACTCCAGCACTCCCAAGTGACCAATATACAGCTTTGGTTAAACAACAGACTTCTTAAAGTAAAGGGGGTAGGTCTTAACGGAAAGAAGCCAGTGTAGAAGGTGTGCAAATGGAGTTTACGACATTTCAGCTCCACTGACCACTCTTCATATCACGAAATTTGGCACGATATCTGTAAACCTAAGACATAGCTTTACTCGTAAAGGTGGCCATCTTCTTATTGAAAACGGTTAAATGTTCGGTGTCCGGTATTACATGCAACTGTAAACTGTGGTGATAGGTACTGGAAATGATGGAGGAATATAGATTAAAGTACTGGAAATGATGGAGGAATATAGATTAAAGTACTGGACATGATGGAGGAATATAGATTAAAGTACTGGAAATGATGGAGGAATATAGATTAAAGTACTGGAAATGATGGAGGAATATAGATTAAAGTACTGGAAATGATGGAGGAATATAGATTAAAGTACTGGAAAGGATGGAGGAATATAGATTAAAGTACTGGAAATGATGGAGGAATATAGATTAAAGTACTGGAAATGATGGAGGAATATAGATTAAAGTACTGGAAAGGATGGAGGAATATAGATTAAAGTACTGGAAATGATGGAGGAATATAGATTAAAGTACTGGAAATGATGGAGGAATATAGATTAAAGTACTGGAAATGATGGAGGAATATAGATTAAAGTACTGGAAATGATGGAGGAATATAGATTAAAGTACTGGACATGATGGAGGAATATAGATTAAAGTACTGGAAATGATGGAGGAATATAGATTAAAGTACTGGAAAGGATGGAGGAATATAGATTAAAGTACTGGAAAGGATGGAGGAATATAGATTAAAGTACTGGAAATGATGGAGGAATATAGATTAAAGTACTGGAAATGATGGAGGAATATAGATTAAAGTACTGGAAATGATGGAGGAATATAGATTAAAGTACTGGAAATGATGGAGGAATATAGATTAAAGTACTGGAAATGATGGAGGAATATAGATTAAAGTACTGGAAATGATGGAGGAATATAGATTAAAGTACTGGAAATGATGGAGGAATATAGATTAAAGTACTGGAAATGATGGAGGAATATAGATTAAAGTACTGGAAATGATGGAGGAATATAGATTAAAGTACTGGAAATGATGGAGGAATATAGATTAAATGTTCGGTGTCCGGTACCACATGCAACTGTAAATTGTGGTGATAGGTACTGGAAATGATGGAAATGATGGAGGAATCAGGAATATAGATTAAAGTTGTAATTAAGATCAAGAATATGACTAGTTAAAGAGCATTTAAACGAAAGGATCGGTAAGTTCGAAACTGAACGTTCTAACACGATTATAGTTAAAATCCTGATCAGGTGTTAATTAGTTAAACCGGATACTAATTACTGATAGTTTAACCGGATACTAACTACTGATAGTTGGATAATATCCGGTCGGATACTAAGTCGGATACTAAGTCTTTTATATTTGGCCTGCAAAGTAAAAGCCGCATTTGGATCAAAATACCACGTCAAGTATATGCATTATGCATTTGAACCAAGAGTTTCAGTATCTTTAAACTTAACTACATCGAGCAACGAAACAAAACCAGCTAAATAACAGTTATCGGCTGCATCAAAACAGCTCAGTATACCCAATCTGCACACCAACTACACACATTTGTCGAGCTCCTTCTGCTCTGTGGCATCACCAAGTAATGTCAACGGGCGCTGGCCAATCACCACGCTCCCTGAGGGGCACGTGACGTGTATCAACCAATCAGATGAGAGGGATGAGGGAGATCTGTCTCTACGTGGGGTCTATAAGGTCTTAGCGTACAAATTGGTGTTTGTTGTATACGTGGGAACTTTGGGCGATCCAAAATATTCGACCGTGGCAATAACATAAATAAATAATAATAACATGAATAAATTAAGAAAGAAAAAATAAGTCGAGGAAAGGAGACTTATGTTTTAAAACTGTGCATGCAGTTGTTGAACGTTTACCATATCGCATAAGGATGTCTTAAAATTATCCCACACTAAAAGACTCAACTCTTATCTGTCTCAATAAGAACCGTAAATTTAATTCTGACACTAAACATGACCGCAATACCTAAACAATAAAACATATTTTAATTTTAAAACAACGTCGTAAAATACTTCGAAAACATAAAATACTTCGAGAACATAAAATTTTCGAAATCTGATCCAATTTCTCAGAAGATTACAGGAATAGAAGGTGTTTTAATAGATTAGAGGGAAGAATGGTAAAGACTCTTGTTTCAGACTCTTGATACTTTATTAGTTATTACCACTACTAAATACACATTCTTAACTTCACACGAATGGTCTTTAACCACTTTTGATGTAACTACTTTTGAAAGCATAGCTATTAACAAGTACAATTCATCATGATCAGCCAGCCGGAAGCTTTGGGTAAAATGTAGAATGAGCCCCTTGACATTATCAAGACATTTAAGGCAACCGGTTTAAAATCGAAATTTCACTTTACTATTTACGTAACTTCGTAAAGTGGCAACACGCCCTAGGCTGCAACATTAGGATTGAAGACCTATCGCACTACAATTCAAGCTCATGAACAGGTAAAATAAAGTATAATTTGAATTGAAGTCCGCCACACCGTCACTAAATTATCCACTGAATCAATAGCAAAGATTCGACAATCTGAATTGTCTAATTGGATGGATACATGACAACTGACAGTTCACAACTAATGATTTTCAGAAGTCAGGCCTGCACAACTACATTGAGCTTATCAGTTACCATGAGTAACTTTCTTTAAATAAAAGTATGAAATGATCCAATGAATCTCTCTCAAAGGTTTGTCAATCCAAATCTCTTTTATTCGTCGTATCGCAGGAAAATGAACGAAAAGAAGGCGATAAAACAATTATTGTTGTGCTGAAGCCAGCAACATGTACAATGTGCAACTACATTAACTATGAGGAGCTTAACAACTATACACATGTCTCGACTAAACGTCTGATGAATATTTGCATAAAATAGAATATCGGAATTGATAAAAGTTTAATAATTATAAAGTAATTGATGTTAATCGTTTCATGCGCGAAGTATCAACGGTTTATTTCGTGCTTGACTTGGTCCAATGTTCCGCTTTGATGAACACGCTGACATAGGATGGTATTGAAACACAAATGCCGGAGAGGCCATACTAAGTACGGTGACATTTTAAATTCCGGCTCAAAATGGTTGATCACACATTGCCAGTCCCCTCGGTCTCCATGTAGACAGTAAGTTTACTTGCTACAGAGGAGCGACGTGTGATCAACCAATTTGGAGCTCACAATGTTCCCTCACACACCACCTGATTAACAGTAACACCTAATAATCCGTACCATACAAATGAATTATGTTAGTTTGTGCAGTGATGGGTGCCTTAAATCCTGGTTTAATCGCTGCTCTGCAGCTGTTATAGTGTTATTTGTTCTATGTTTTAGCAGCACATAGTTATTTCGTATTTAGTCCCATGGAAAATGATTTGATTTATTAAATGTAACTGATTTACTGATGAAGTGCATATAGTGTTGTTTTTATTAGTTTAAAACGTTAATTATGACATTACAAATTTATCACATTTATTGGATGAAAATGAATGTGAATGTGTCAGTTTCAAATATTTTCAAGCAAACTTTCAGTAAAAGCTCCGCTTTTCAATAATCAATCATAGAAAGTTAACAAATCGAATCACTTCGACTTAGTATAACCTAAACCAGTAAAACAACAAAAATGTGCTATAGTTTTAAGCTGTAATTAATAAGACTTCAGGTTAAGACGTTGGTTTTATTTTTATTAAACTCTTCAAAAAGACCTTAATCACATCAATAAACTCGACAATAATCGACCTATAAAAAGCGACAGAACTGAACACAACTCAATACTTATGCTATTAATACCAAACAACTAGCTGCCACAATCTGAGACCCTATTGTACTGACGTACTGTACGGGGCTAGCTGCTAATTGCATTCTTTACTTCCTGTGACAACAGATAAAAGGCAGGATCTGCGTCAAACTTATAGAACATACGATCTTAAAGTTACACCCAAATAAGGGCATTACTCCAAACCACACCACTAGGTTTTGGTCTTTATCAAACTACAAATATTACAAATATAACTGTGACACACACTTTCTATTCACACACTTTCTATTCATACCCTTTCTATTCATACCAATCAAACACCGAATAATAGTAATATTACAGTCTGATAGGAATAAAGTCCAACTCCTTTTAAAAAGTTGAATACAACGTATATCACTCTGTAAGGTACAAGTGAGCTGTGCTACGTTTATATGCTCACGACTAGCTGGTTGGCTACATCAATCCCCTCACCGACCAAACTATACTTACATCTGCTCATATTTACATCTCAGCTCCTGGATATGCAACT